CCCCGTCACCATCGGACACCTCCTGGGAGTCCCCTGCCGCTGTGGATCCTGGAGGTCAGATCACAGTGGCAGGAGACCCCCAGGAGGCCTCTAATGGTGGTGGGGAAGCTCTCAAAGCTTCCCTGCCACCATCGGAGACCTCCTGGGGGTGTGATTGCGGTGGTGGAAAAGGGCGGGAAATTTAAAATTGCTCCCCCACTGCTGCGATCAGACCCCCAGGAGGCCTCGGGAGACCTCTGAAGGTGCCGATCGCTGTGGCAGGGGACCTCCCTGGGTCCCCCGCCGCCATCAGAGATCTCCTGGGGGTCCCTTTTCCTAACCGAAGGGGTGAAAGAGCAGCCTCTTCACCACCAACGGTTTGAATGGAACGAAAAAAAGGCAGGGGAAATTTGAATTTCCTGCCCTTTTCCCCTGCCTTTTTTTTTCGTTCGTAGGCCGAGGCTCTGTTCGCAAGTCAATGCAATTTTTTGCGAACGGAGCCATTCGTAGGTCGAAATGTTCGTAAGTAGGGATGTTCGTAAGTCAAGGTTCCACTGTAGCCTCATCTCTCTGGTTCATCTCTAGAGTACATTTTTAGGTTGCCACACAATTGGGCTGCAGTCAAAGTTTGAATAAAATATAACCAATACATCTGTGGTCTCTTTTTATCAGATCAAAAGTATGGCTGCTCCTTCTTTTTCTTCCCCTCCCAAAGCTGAGGGTACCACAAGCTCTAATGAAGTGGGGAAATAAGGGTTGTCCCCCCCAACATCTATGAGGACCCTGTCTCACTTAAACACACACATACAAAAGAATGGGTGGGAAGCAAGGATAACTGCAGTGGCATCTGCTGGCCCAGAGGGCTCTCATTGCTCCACAATACTTCTCTAGCACTTGCTTTTGAGCTCAGTAGTTGAAGAACACCAGGCTTGCAGAAGAATCCTCACAGACAAGGCACTGTGGGAAGGATGGCCGCAAAAATTGGGTGTACCACCATTCACACAATACCCTTTCCTGACTGTACATTTGTATTATTCAACAAATGGTCCAAACCAGCATGAGCTGACATGTTCAATAGTTTGGCCCTTAATCCTGGCAGGACTTAAGAAGCCTAACACCAACTGAAAGCAACTTTTTCTCTAGCACCACTGGGCTAGACCCAAGACTTTTACTTAAAATAAAGGGTTATTTTTTCTGACTCCTTCTTTATTCTAAGGCTGCCAGCCCTGCATACCATGTTATTCTTGGGGGGAGGCAGTACTGGGGGGCTGCAGAGTGAGGGAAGAATTTGCAAAAATCTATCCAACACATATCTCTAGAAAATTCACATACCACACACTTGCTTTAAAAAAAAAGCTTGAAAAATGTATGATCAAAACACCATGGCTACAGAATTTTATGTGGAAGCAGCAATAAAGAAACATGGATCTCAGGTAAGGGTTAGGCCATGCTAAGGAATAAAACTGGTCACAGCTCCATTTAATTAAGATGGAACATATCCTAAACAGTGAAAGCAGACATTTGGTTAGGCAGAAATGCTATCCCACCTGGATGTAAAGCAGGGAAGTGGGCACGTAAAATTCTGATGCAAAGGTTCTGATGCTGTTTCAAATACAGTAATAAAACTTATTCTGTGTCACATTAGTTACTCTCAGTAAAAGCCCCCCAACAGTTTCATATAATCCAACCCATGCTCACTATCAAAGTGTACCCAAGAGTTTTTGCCACTGAGGATGCCTCCATGGTATATTATTATCTTCATACTCTGACATGCTCCACTTCTGAACTTAAGTGAATACATCTAAAAATAATGAAATATGTAAGACAGAAATGTATTTTTTATCCCCAAGCTATGTGTCTGTACTCTCACCAGTTTGTGGATACTGTACTCAGTTTCCCTTTAGTTATAATATTTTTTCAGTGGCTTTGACAGTACAGTATTATGTGTTACATTATAAAGCACTGATTCCACAGCTACTCTATAAGGTTCTTTAGAGATAGTGGTTGTATGGGATATGTAAAAAGATAACTTTTGTAATTGCAATTTAAAATTCAGAGCTATTTGCAATACAAAATCCATTTTTATTTCAGAGACTACAAAAATCACATCCAAGTTCAAACTAATGAGGCTTTAACAGAATGCCCTCAATTTGTTAATATGTTGAACATATGGCTCTAGAGACCTCTAAAAATTTTATGTCTATCTCTGTAATATATACTCCATTTAGTCTATGCATCCCTATATCTTAGCTGCCATACAAAGAACAGCAGAAACAGTAGACAAACTCTACCCAAAAAGAAGGCAAATTTGTAGTTAGTTGATTGAGTGCAGAAGTGACAGACCTTTACTCAGGTTTATCCTGCTGAAATGAATCTTTGTCTTATTCTTTTTCGTATTTGTAGTGCACAATTGGTGTAATCAAAACAGCAACAAATACACTGAGGACAAAGCAGAAAACTGAGGGCATCTGATCTGTTCTTAAAATTAAGCAGGTTTCTACCCATTCATGGTCTTGATAACAAATGAATAAGACTACATGTATAAAATTAAATCTTCTAATGTGACCTCACAAAGAATGTGGAAATAAAAAGAGATAATGAAAGAGACTAATACGTTTTCTTCAATCAGAACACTAGAACAATCTTACACAAGCTACTGTTCTTGATCATTATTTCTCCTGCCACCATGGTGAAGTACAGAAAATAGAGCTGGGGGCCGCTGGAGGTAGAGTCTGGGTGAGGCTGGGCCACATCAGATTTTCCACCAAGTGGAGCAAGAGCCCGAGGAAGCCGCCCAGGAGTTTCCTTAGCCTGGCTGGGGCTCCAAGGAGGAGGAGGAAGGTCACGCGAGCCCTTGTCACCAACCATGACCCCCTCTGGCTCCTTCTTCATTACCACCAGCAACAGCAGCAGGACAAAGAAGCGGAGAAGGGAGGGAGCGCCGGCAACCGCCTAGCCGGAGACATATTTTTTTTTTTAAAAAATACCCTCACAGAATTTCCTTGCCAAAGGAGAAAAACACCCATTGGTACCTGCGAAATTAAACAAAACGGGGCGGCCCCCCCAGGTGTGCACATGTGCACACAAACAAACACACACACACACATGGAGGTCCAGCAACCTTCCTCTGAGGGCTCCCTTCAAAAAAAAGGCACACTCAGCAGCAGCAGCTACCCCCACCACGACGGAGGAGCAAACTTTGCGAGGCGAGCCCAGGCAGCCTCCATAGCTGAGGCGGCTGAAGCAGGACAAAGAGGAGGAGGAAGCACCGCCGGGCGCTGAAGTGGCCACTGGCCGGGCTGGTGCTACGGGTGCCGAGAGAGAAAGAGAGCCAGAGAGCCGCTTCCCTGGAAGAGGCAGCAGCAGCAGCTGTTGGCAGCTTGGAGGCGCTCTTTGAAGACGGGCTAGGAGCGAGCTCTACTCTCAGGCATCGTTGGCGGTGGCTCAGGCGCTCGGGGAAAAGGGCTGGCAGCGCACCTCGCTCACCGCCTCTCTCCCAAGACAGTGCCTCTTGCACCCTCCATCCGGAACTGCAGCCTGCCAGCTG